CACACACACACACACACACACACACACACACACACACACACACACACACACACACACATCATTCTATGTGCCGATGGATGGGTGGAAACGTCTCCCTTTCCCTGCTGCTCTTCCTGTTGCGCTCCTTTCCAGGACACTGGGGTTTTAATTTAATTGTAGGGTGGAACGTGAGCGTTTAAATCCGAGCGCCACCACACATACTGAACTGCAGACACACATCAGTTTCCAGATACTCTGTGTTAAAAATGCTCCTCTGCAAAACCGCTAACCAAAAGTTGCCCTGAAACAGGATTGGGCTCAGAGACRACCATAAAACTGTCACGACGAGCAAACAGTTCTGGGCTCAAGAGGGCTTTAAGTGCCTGTGACATGAATATTCTTCAAATACAAAAAGTCAAAGAAAACATTTTTATATGTAAGGAACTTGGCATGAAACATAATTTTGCTCATTTTGTCCCATAACTAGCTTTTTTTTTCACTTGGCCCAGCCAAAGTGAAACAGGAAGTGACATCAAAGGGGAACTTTTTAAGAAAATGAACTCTCTGATCTTTGTTTATTAAAACATTATTCTTTAAACTCTGACTCTTTGATAGGGACTCAAAATAATTTAAAGAAACATCAAATTCTTCTCTACAGTCTCTCTTGTTAGCTATTTTAGTAACACTGTTCACACGCCGACATTCACCTTTTACATACTTCCTGTGACTTCACATGCAAATATCTCAACAACTGTTCATCTCAGCGGTGTGAAATTTGTTTTGTAATATCTCATTAAAGTTGTCTTTCCACAGATGCATTCATATTTATTACAAACATTTGATGTCACAGGCACTTTAAGTGTGTATGTAAAGGGATAGTTCAAATCTTTTATAAAGAGAAAATTAGGTCTTTTTAATAGATATCTGCAACCGGTAAGATATTATTTGCTCATAACYCTGTCACCAAGTTCTTGTTTATTTACTTTCTGAATCTTGCTCCTACAGATTTCTACTTAATACGCAACTTAAAGAGAATTCAGCTTCTCTGAAAGAATAACAATAAAGTGAGTGAGTTCTAAGTTTGGCATGTGGGTTATTCATTAGGATTCCAGGAAGCCAGTTTTTTTTCTTTTACAACCCCAAGGCAATATTTAGACTCTGCATTGTTTCCATATTGAGCCCAGCACCAGCGAATCTGTCTSGTAAGACAATGGCTGGTTTTCTTCCTCACTAACATCTTGTTGTCATCATCTCTTCAGACGTGAGGTAGACAAAGGGTTGACACTTTATGGCTCCTTCTAATGAACTGCTCTGCTTCATATTCATTTCAATTAGCCTTTTTTTTAGTTGTTTAAAAAAGTTGCATATTCTCYGTGATGTTGTTGCTTCATACAGGATGTTGATGTGATCGTTAAATAAAACCCAGTGCAGACGTTATCAATTTGTATCTAAGCTATATCCCCTCACTGCTATAGATCTTAGGAGAACCACATTTTCATGAATAATTGTTAAAGAAAAGAATAAAATTGATGTTTTGGAATTCACAAATTTGAAATTTTGACCCAAAACCAAAAACGTCAACGTGAAAGAAGCAGAAGTGAAAAGTTCCTAATTTAAAATTCTCTAAAAATGTACAAATTTTGGGGAATTTCAGTTGTGCAGGACTGATAAATATTTATTGAATATAATCATTATATTATTATGTATTATTGTATTACAAAGTTGAGTTATAAATAATTTCTAGAAAGAAATCTACATTTAGAGAAATAAAATGAGCATACTTAAAGATTCTTGAACTATTTTAAATTATTTCTCATCATAAAACAATAAAAGGCATTTTGAGTGAAAACTGTGGACAAATCTCTGAAAACTAAACTGTATAAAATAACCAAAGAATAGAAGGTAAATAAAAATAGAATCACTGTTTTGCTGTGTTCTGAAGTATCTAAAAATAAAAGACAGAACTTAGTGTTGACATGTTTTTTTCCTCCTTCCTGTTTTYTTAACATGTCCTAGAAAGCAGCAGACTGATTTTACTATTGTCCTCATTGTCACTAAACTTCCTGCAAGTCCGAACCTAAGAAAAAAAATGTTAAAAAAAATAATAATCTGGTTCTTGAGGAGCCAGAGGCAGAGGTACATCATTTGTAGTTTGATCATATTTGTTATGTTGAAACTGTATAATGTTTGTGTAAGGCAGTGGTTAAACTGTGTGAAGTTCAGAGCGTGGTAGAGAAGCTTTAAGCTTCTTGGCTTTGTGTCTGATTTGTGAGAAAGTCGTTTCCTGCAGAGAAAACCTGGCTGAAAGTCATTCTGTGGAGCCAGGATCCTCTTCTCTCCGCCCTTCTCTTCCTTTTTTTTAGCTAATTGTTTTGTTTCGGTGCTCCTTTTATCTACGCTGTGTCCAACCTTTAACTCAAATAAGCCAAAAAGACCAAAACATTCTCTTTCATGGAGACAAAACTTATTATCAGGATGATGGTTTAGTTTGATCTTTGACTTCCTGTTGTTGCTTCGAGCCCCCTGTCTTCTCTTGGCCTCCCAGCTCATCCATGAGCATCTGATGCTCGTCAACAGGAGCAGCTCAGCCTCTCAGATTCACACAGTAGTGTTGAAATCTCCGCCCCTCACATCTGCTTCTCCTCTGCCCCGTCTGACAGCTGCACGTCTGCAGCATCTTCTCCTGTTTCCACTCTGCTCCTGCTTTAACTTTAATCTCAGCCTTCAACTGATTTCCACATTTCCACTTGCCACATGTCATAAGATTTCTTTGTTGGCTCAAATTTCTGGGGTTTTGTTCATCCTGAGGAGTCTTCAGCCTGTTAGATTATTTCCCACGATGCAACAGCTGGTGCAGCCATCAACTCTTCCTGAGTGAAACCACAGGCTGAACAATCTTCATCCAAAACATATATAAAAGGATCAGCTTTTGTCCATGCTTAAATGACCATCAAATGAAAAAAAAAAAGAATCATGAAGTTCAAATGTTTCTGATGTAAACAGGAACCCAAACAGACAACAGTTCTGTTGAACTGTTGTGGAGTTTCAACATGTCTGGTAAATTAAAGAGCAGCATGTTATTATTTCTAACACAAATACTGTATTCTGGCAAAAAGAAACAAAAATGCTTCTTAAAAACAGATTATGTGACAAAAAGCTCACATCTTTAGAAGTTAGATTTTGTGAAAAGTTTGTATAAATAGTAAATATCTTACCTGTGTAGATAGTTTTTTGAACAACCCCAGTGGGGAGTTTAAATTTTTTTCAAAATCTGTTTTAGGAGATGGGCGTACAGGTTGAGCTGTCCAAAATGAGCAGGTGGTTACAACACTTATAAAGAGTGCTGTGACAAATTAAAAAAACAAAACAAAAAAAAAAAGTCAGACTACCGGTTGATAAGACCACAACGTCTAAACCTGCCCACTGATGATCCTCCCACAGGGTGAGGAACACACTGTCATGTAGACACACCTACTATTGAGTAGAACCGAACAGACAAAGTGGTTAGAGTGAGACTTGAAAAATGGAGAAAGGGCTACAGACAAGCAACACACCGAAGTATTTTTGTTCAAAATGCAGTGAAAAGATAAAGGTCTGAAAAAATCTTATWAAAAAAACAGCCATGTGAGTTTGATGAAATCATGTTTAAGGAGCAAGTAAAGTTCAAATTCAACACCCAGTGGTTTAATAAACTTTAATCTATCCCAAAAGAAGACCTAGGATCACAAGTTCAGACACCGAAAGACGGCTCACACCAAACCAAAAAAAGACAAAAAACAAAAGACACATTTAGCCCAGAAACACAGAGAGGCAGATCAGTGTGGGATGAGTCACAGTGGTTTATTATTAGAGGCCTGAGAGTGACAGTATGTGCTCAGACTGAGCCTTCATCGCATTGCTCACTTTGATGACCTCACGTCAGGATGTTGTTGTTGTTGTTGTTTCTGCACTTTTAATGTCCCTTTTGAATAGAAACTTTAAGTTTTGCTGCATTTGCTGCAAATAGCTCCTCCTCACTGCACCACCTTCAAGCACCAATTTTCTATACATTTAACCGAGCATCATATGTATTTCTGACATTCATTGACCTAATAGTCCCTGACGCCTGTGGGGTCCACCCACATCCTCCTCCCTCTTCCCTTCATCCTCCTCCAGCTCACTGTTCACAGCAGACTCGGACTGGAGCTCCGCTGCAGCGTTCCTGTCCGAGTGGAAAGTGACAGTGCGCACCACAAACCRCGCAGGATGACAAAGAAAACCAGCGGTGAGGTTCTCACTGCTGCAAGAAGAGACTAAGATCTGAGTTTGTGTTCAGGTAGGTCTGAGCTGAAACGGTTTGCCTTTTAGACATGAGCTTCAAAAGATGCAGGATGTTTTACATGTGTCTTTAGTGTGAAGTTTGAATGTGTGTTTTAATGACTTTATTCGTGCTGCTGTTTGTCTCTGCCTGCATGCTCTACACCAAGATGCAAGCGTTAAAAAACTCTATATTTTAAAACAACATAACCAAAATTTTCACAAATTACTAATCATTAATTTCAAAGCCAGGCTCTAAAATAAATATCTAAATTAAGTAAATGAACTTGGTTACTGTTCTGAACAGAGGTGTCATAAAGTATAAACACTTTCTTTAAAAAAAATTGAATTATCTTTACTTCACTGGAGTAATTAGTTTTCAGCCGACTTTCTACTTCTACTCCTTACATTTTAAAAATGTAAGAAGCATTTATTTTTCATTTCAACTTGTTATTGTTCTTAAATGATGGGGTTGTTCATGTGGCTGGGCCATGTTTTTGTCCTTAATGTTTTTCTATACATTACTTTTCATTAGTTTGCTAAAATGCATACTGTAAAACTATTTTCCTTTTTCTACAGCTAATATTAAAGCATGTTCTCTCAAAAAATCATATTTATTAAAACAAAAATCATGCTTACGAAACTGTTTAGACAAGGGGAGGCGTCAATGGGGGCCACACTTTTTTGCGGGGGAGAGGGGTGCGCCCCTGCGCCCATGCTAATAGTTGCAGCTCAGTAGATAGGGCCTTGGTTTATGAAAGGAACAATTTTTTTTTTGTTAGACCATTACAACCAAGTGAGACAGGTTTGCGCTTCACTCTCTTGTCCTCGTTTCTTTTGTGGTTTATTGAGACAATCCTCAGGAAAAAAGAAGAATTAATAAAACTAGCGTCTGTGATCTTYGGCAACCATTCAACCCATAAAAACAGATGTTTGCTTTTCTTGCTGTTGTTCTGGAATAATTTTATAGTATTTGTGCAACATAAAATAGGACACTTTAAAGGTCAAGTCTGTGCTGAAATTCTTGAGTGTTTTTTTTTTTTTTGGTGAGTTGTGTTGCTGATTCAGTAGATCAAAGACAGCTTTAGTGAGAATAAATAGGAAGTGAACACATGTTCCTGCTGCATTGCTTGGTACAGTTAGGTTCAGCTGCAAACGTGTGACATGTGAGAATGAGAAAATGTTCAACTAATCTTTAAACAAACGAACTAAAACTATGACAACAAAACCAAACAGAAAACCAGAGTGTACATATTTAACTGACCAGTTTTCCCTGCTGATGAAAAACAGTAAGTGCAAGTGAGGGCCAAGCGAGGCGTGTCATCACGACACAAGTGCGTCTTTACCTCCATGGCAGAGGCTCCACTGAACCYCTGAGACCAGCTCATCAAACCCCTGGGGTTCGATCAAACCCAGGTTAAGAAYCACTGCACCAGCCTGCTTGCCACCAACATGCTTCATTGTAGAGAAGTGTTCTCAACTCGACGAGATGTCAGGTGTCGTTCATAATGGCTTAATATTTTAGTTTTAGTCTCAGCTGAACCCAGTATTAGAGGGTCTCCAAAATGATTATTTGAACTTGTTTTTTTTTATGGGCCACTCTTCCATAAAACCCAGCTCTGTGCTGTATGTCGTATTGGTCTCTTGGCTTCTTTTCTGATAAAAACTCCTTTTTAAGTTTTGTGAGATTTAATTTATGATCCTCTGCAGGTTTATGTGATGGTATTACATTTTAATCTTCTAATACTGGATTTAATGATTCTCAGAGGATTTTTAAGGGTGTTATGGCAATATTTATTTAACAAAGACAGAAATATGTGGTCCAAGAATGAAGGTACTCCGTGAGATGATCAGCTGAGTTTTAATGCAACAACAGGAAACACAGAGAACAACCTGGCCTGTCTCTGTGCCTCTGCTTCCCTCTGTCACTGTCTCTCCACACTACTCCCTGTGTCTCGAGAGGCCTCATATATATATATTAACAAACACCATTATGTCATCTTAGCAAGATTTGATACAAGGTCAATGGAAAACACAAAGATAAGCACAAGTGATATCTAAGAATGACTTTTGTTAGCAAATCTTGTTCTGACTTTAATCATTCTGTCTGCAGATAAACAGCATGTCATGAAAACCTAGGTCATTAAAGGATGTCATGAATTACTGGCTTAAACATAAAAGTATTATTTCCGTTACAAAGGTCTTTGGAGGTTTTCAATCTTTTCTCCAACCTGTGTGGAGAGTTCCTTGGTCTTCTTGTCTCTTGCTTGGTTCGTTACCTTTACTACTTAGAAATGCTGAGTCTGGGGGCTATAGAACAGGTGGATGTATACTGAATCATGTGGCTCCTGAATGTAATTGTTGGAGTGACTACATTTACATGCAATGCTTTTCAATTTGATATTTTTGATTTAAAACAAGTTTTTCCTCTGCCTTTCACTGCAGTAATCTGGAGCATCTTACGTAGATATATTAGAATCAAACTGAAATTTAATTTAAATGTCAAATTTGAAGGCAACAGATGAAAAGAATGCTGAGGAGGGGTGACTCACTGTATATAGTCAAGGCAGGACATGAAGTGCATTGCCACGTCGCTGTAAACTGAATGCATGTTATATTTTTGACCTATGGTAACGGTCAGGCTGTTCTGACTTCAACCACAGCTCGGTGGTGCTGAGCTCCACGGGACCATGGGTCTCTGGTTCAGCTGAAGAAGCGACCACAGGGCTGTGGCTCACTGGAACACAGACCTGTTTCAGTTTTCTCTGTAGAGTAAATGCACAGACTGAACTCTTTCTGAATCACTGTCTGGTCCTCAAACATCCTCAGAGCCTCTTTCTGCAGCTCTGTAGCCCCAGATGTTTGAAGAAAACTGAATCACTTGTAGCAGTGAGAAAGGCAGCGAGGTGAGGTTTGATTGAAGATATATATATATATATATATATATATGGAAGAATAGCAACAGACAAATAGAAGGTAAAAATGTGTTTCTCATCAGTATATATGTCCGGTTTAATTCCCTGCATGCACGCTATTCCCATTCCACTCTCTATGTCTGCACTGAGTCAGACAGCTTAAGTGAAACAGGCCTGGAGGTAGAGTTTAAAGATAAATACCACGTTTAACAGACCTCATTGTGTTCCTGTGTGCTCCTAACAAGACTAATTTGGCAGAATGAAGTTCCCAAAGTGAATTTATGCACTGGTGTTACACTTGACATGAGCAGTTATGGTGACTTTATTGCTCCCAGAATCATAAGGGGAAGAAAAACAAAATCACAGAGAGCTGGATTAAGGGTTGAATTTAGAAAGTGGAGAAGTTACAGACATATTAACTAAACTTGTGAATAACCCATCAAACAAGAAAGAGAAATTTTCTGGGAAAACGTTTTTTTAAAGGACACCGATTTCTGTAAAGCCCATTATTTAAGAATTTTTTTGTGTGACAATCTAAACTGACAGGAAGTGATGTTTTGATGTGTAAACGGAAGAAGAGGTGTAAATAAAACCAAGGTGAAAAGAAAATAAAGCTGATAATAGTGGCTCACTGGGGTTACCATGGGAACCACACACTCTCGCTCCCTGACAGCACTCTGACAAACAGGCAGACACGAAGACTAGAAATTCAGTCTCTCATAAAAAGTTTAAGTTTTAATAAAAGTATTTTCAATAATAAGAAGCTGTATTGTCTGTTTGTCACATATCTCTGTTTTTGTATGTCTGCAGCATGAGAGGTATGACAGGTCAAATACTTTTTCAGGTATCAGATGCATCTAAAGTCAATGAGATGTGCTCACACTGGGTACTGGAGGCATTTGGGTGATAAATCCTACAGCATGCTAATAATTATTGTGTTTTGATGTGTAGGATGGATCAAAAGTGTAAAGTTTGTGGAAGTAAAACAAAAGTTTATTAGCAAAAATTAGGGAAAGTCTAGACAGCTCAAGAGTTACTGACATAATGCCCAGGTTCTTCTTGCAAATGAGATCTCAATCTCAATGGAGTTTTACCTGGTTAAATAAATGAATTTAAAAAAAATCACACCCTAAATTAAACAATCTGCAAAAAAAAATCGGAAAAAAAATCATTACACCTAAACTGTGACTGCTCCTTAGGATCTATGCTGTCGCTTCTTAAAGACAAGAAAACGTGAAATTCTCCATTGTTTTAAATAAAAAGGGATGCAGTTTGTTCCTGAAATAGTAGAATGCAACACCACAGTGTGCCAAAACAAAACAATACAAGTTTATTGATAAACCAAAATTACCAATGCCAGAGAGAGAAAGTTACTTTTTTGCTCGATTTGCTGCATTTTAATTAAAACCAAGTCTCTTCACTTTTGTAACTCTAGCCTTTATAAAAAGACTCAACATTGCTTTCACGCACAGACATGAAATATAAAAGTCCAGTTAGTGAAGAACATTTTAAAAATGATGTAATATCAAGCTTTAGCAAGCCTTGCCTATAAAAACATCTTTTTAAAATGATTAAGTCGAGCAACAAATTTAAAATTGACATAATCAGAATCTTGATTTCATAACCTTTTTTTTTTTTTTGCCCAGGCTTGTGACCCATTGAAAACAGGTCCGGTCACACCCCACTGGTTGAGAATCACTGCTTTAGAACACCAAAGATTAGTTTCAAATCAGAAATTGTGACAAACAATTAAAAATAAACTTATAAAAGTGTTTAAATTCACTTGTCTAAATCAAGCATTACCAGTGACATTTGGAAAGCCACAAAGCTACACTAGAACTTTATTAGAGTTAGAGATGTTCATGAATCTGGATCCTTAAACAACAGAAAGCTGTTTGTGTTGTAAATGAYTGTGACTAATGTTTATCTGCCTCTCACCTTCTAATGGACTGAAGGCCTTAATCGCTCTCTTAAGCCAAGTGTGGGTTAGGTTAGGGTTAGGGGCCTAAGAGCAGGCCTACCAAGTCAGAAGTTTTAGAAGCTGTAGTTCCTCGTCAATGAAATYGTTGCCCAATAACTTCTATCATTGGTTTTATTACAGTGAAAGATAGACAAACTTGAAAAAAAAATGGATTAGCTGATAGTTACGGAGAAGAGAATCTGGAAGTTGTTACACCACAATTACACCTTGTTTAGACAGCCACCCCCGTATTGTAACTCCTGCAGCCTGCGACTCTAATCCACCTCTGTAGGTCACGTGTTAGAGCTTAGTGGTGTTCTCTTGTCTTGGATTCATTTCTTCAGTGGGCAGGAAGAGGGGTGTCAGTGCCACTTGGCCTTTAGTTGGTTGTAAACTGGAGCTCAGTGTGTTAGATCACGTTATTTTCATGTGGTAGATCATATGATGACATGTTCTGCTGTTATGACACATTCAATCCCAAAAAGCTTTAATATATACTTGTTTTCTAGTTTTTGTTTTATTTTATTTTATTTTTTGTAGATTATTTGTTTTATTTCTGTATTAAACATAACTCTGGAGTATCTAACAGTGTCACAGCTGAGAGGAGAGACACAGAACTTCTTAAACACCCAGAAAAGTCAAGTTTAATTAATCAGATTCTTTTCCAGATACTTCAAAAAACATAAACAAATCAGTCAGACCAAAGTTTAATTAATGCTTTCTCCTCTCTATTCCCCTCACATCTTTCTCCTGTTCTCTGTCTGGCTTTTAGCTGGCCTCAAGTGAACTGAGTGCAAACAGAGACCCCCTGCCACCACCTGGAAAACACAGAGAAACTAAGTGGATTGAAGAAGGCAGAGACTGAGCGGAGGAGTCAAAGAAGAAGGGAGGGACGACAGGGAAGATTAGCTGCTAATCCAGTCCACGGACAATCCTGTAGGAGATTTGTCCTTCTCTCAGAACGATGCAGACAAAACAGTGGCAGGATTACGACGCTTCCGTTTATTGCCCTCATCAAGAGAGTGTCGGACATCGCTTCCCAACGCTTCGAAAGGTCTGAATGCCTGAGGACTCACATCTTTGATGCAGTAGAACCAGTGAACAGCTAACAAAGAGTAAAGCCTTGAAACAGGATGTCCTGAGGACAGTGTGGTGTCACACGCATGGATAAACCTTCTTTAGAGGGAGACGTTGCATGACGGCAGGTTCCTGTTTTCAGCTTGGTCACTGAGAAGTCATCACATAAGATCTTCTCACTGACAGTAAGTAACAGCACTCACTCTGATGATTTGATTTAATTTAAAGCATGAAATTAATTGAAAACCACTGAAGGCTGTGAAAAGTCAATATAGTAGCATGAAAAAATGATTGAACTCTTATAGTCAATCATTTGTGTTTGATAGATTATTTCTTTATTGTAACAATGCTTCTTGGCAATAAATCTTACAGCAGGCACCTGAYTGGCAGCACCTGGGGGTACCAGAAGCTCATAACAAGTGTCAATGACAACAAAAGCCATTTGGTAGAGATTAGGCAATTTTTTTCATGTGCACAACCCACATACTCAGCTCTACTGCTCATCCCACAAATGCATATTCCTTACAAATGTGGCACCATTTAAAAGGTAAATCAACAGACTTTCCAAAGGTAGATTTATTRCCAAGAAAYATTRTTACAACRAAGAAATRATCTACYAAACACAAATCTCCTACTTTTTGGGCTAAGTTTGTGATAATAAGGAAAGAAAAAGGAAATAAATGACTTACCTCCATTAAACAACTTATAAAGTGAACATTAGGGGAACAAAACCCACAGGGAACTCAGCAATATCTCTAAAACACCTGGAAAATGAGCCTTTCCTTCAGGTTTTCTCAGTGAAGTAACTTCCAAACTGCATCACATGTGCTGATCTTACAATGCTGGAGTTGACCATAAAAACTGGTTGTTTAGGTTTGTGTAAAAGAGCCAAGCACAGTCTTGTTTCATTAAGAGCTTCCTGGTGAGGTGATCCTCTTATGGCTGCAAGTGAAACACATGTTGAGACTCCTTGTGTCTAAAACAACATAAAATAAAGTGAACTCAGTGTAAACACAAGTCTTTTTTATTGCTTTTTGTCCCACAGCTATTTGACTGTAAAAAAGAAAAGAAAAGAAAAAGAAAAAGCATTTCAGTGTATTTACTCGAGTCATGCAGTTGGGAGTTTTGTATGTCTGGGCTGTCGTTCGCCAAACCAAATACACCCAGTACCCAGTCAGCCCCAAACGCTCCAACCACACGAATTGTGGTAACCAGAGGAAACCACGTATGTCCTTGTAATTTCTCCTCTTTGTTATTTGGTTGTGATTGAAGTCTGATGCTGAGCTCCTGGAGAGAGTTAGGTCATGTTGGGAAGACGTGCAGAGAGGAGAGAAAAGAGATGTAAACAGAAGCTCAGGAGGTTTTTCGTCTTCCCTGACATCTTCCAGTGCAGCTCATAAAGAGAAACTGTGGTGGAGGAATAATCTGTGACTGTATTGAGAGGATTTTGTTCCCTCACTGTCCTGGCATTTGATTCTTTTCTCTCTCTCTCTTGTTTCTCAGTGGACCACAAACTGGATTTTAAACTTGACTGACATGCGTTCAGAGTCCAGACCTTCTCGTTAAGTCTAAAAAGGGAATAAACAAAACACTTCTTCCACGATGAGTCTGGGAAAGCTGCCAGGGATTAAAGGCCTCGTGTCCGGCTCTCAGGGGAAGCGCCGCTTCAAGAGTGACCTCTCCGTCGACATGATCAGCCCGCCGCTGGGCGACTTCCGACACACCATGCACGTTGGGCGTGGYGGGGACGTGTTCGGCGATACCTCCTTCTTGAGCAACTATGGAGGCATTAAGGAGCCAGGGAGTCCGGACTCAGCCAGCAGCTCCAAGTCGACTGGCTTCTTTATGCGCACCTTTCGGCACGTACGGAAGACCTCCGGGCCACGGCCGCGAGCGGGTTCCCGGGACTTGTCGTCCCCACCGCCTGACATCTCACCCATCATTAAAAACGCCGTGTCTCTGCCTCAGCTGAACGTAGAGTCTGCCAATGGGTGCCTGCAGAGGAGGGCGCTGTTCCCCAGCTCCATCAGCTCAACAGACGATTCCTTCTGCACGTATGGTGAGATAATACAGATAATCACTGCCAGTGTGGATTCATGCAAAGCATCTTAGCAGGCAGATTAGAGGAAATGCAGAGGTAGAGATCAAACTCAAAGCTGGTGATAAAGCACGATCTTCTGTGTGACATTAATTCAGACCAAATATATCAAATCAGTCCATTGAGCAAAAAAGTTCATTATAAATAAAAGCAACACAGTATTGTGCAAAAATTTTAAACCACCCCTCATCATATCAAATTCATTTTACGTGTCAAACTGTGTTATTTTTATTCATTCATCCTTCCAGCGACTCTTTTATTCCAGTGGTTCCAACCCTGGTCCTCAACACTATCCTGTATGTTCTAGTTGCTTCTCTGCTCTTCAGCAGGTCCTCAGCTTCTTCAGAAGCTTGTTAATCACTCATTCCTAAATAGGGTGTGTCAAAGCAGGGAAACATCTAAAACATGCAGGATAGTGGGCCTCAAGGACCAGGTTGGATAATGAAGGCAAGAGGTTCAGGAAGGAAACATCCCCGGTGCGTCCCCAGCAACATTCTCCAGCTTTTAGTTGAAATTCTCAAAACGTTCCCAGGCCTGAGAATATTTATTTATAGTCTATCAATTAAGTTCTAATGGGTCCTCGTTGGGGTCTCCTCCTTGTGGAAACTCTCCCTAACCCTTGATCAATCCTAAAGTGCATGTAACATCATTTTTTGTAATAAATATGAATGCACATTTGGAAAGATAGCACTGATAAAATATTGTAAATAAAATTTCACACCTTTTAGATGAACAGTTGTTGAGATATTTGCATGTGGATTAACAGGAAGAGAATTTGATGTTTCTTTAAATTGTTTTCAGTCACTATCAGAGAGAGATGAAGAAGAGTCAGTGTTCAAATAATATTGTTTCCATAAACAAAGACCAGGGAGTTCCCTTTCTTAAAGAGTTCCYCTTTGATGTCACTTCCTGTTTCACTTTGGCTGAGCCCAGTTCAAAAGATACTGTAATATGCCAGTTATGTGACAAAACGGGTAAAGGTAAAATCATATATATTATGCCAAGTTTCTTCAATATAAATTTGTTTTGTTTGATTATTTGTATCTGAAGGATGCACATGTCGGGCACTTTAAGCTGAATTCTTTTGATGACAAAGTGCAGCAACTCTATCAGCTGTCTCCAGATGATGGAGCTCCTCACCTTATCTTTAATATAGAGGAAGTTCATTTCAACAGCTTGTGGGGTCTATTTTTCATAAAATAACTTAAATAAATGGAACTAATATCAATTTTGTTACAGGCTTCTATAAAATGGTCACTGATCCAGTTTGCATTTAGTTCTTTGCTAAGGCGTTCGATATGTTGATGCAAAACTGAGTTTAGAAACCATTTATACCTCACAGATTAGGTCAGACCTAAATGTTCTGATAATGTACTGAGAGACACATAGGTCTACATACAGAGGGTAAACAAACCACACCAAAAAGTTTCTCTATAAATGAATATATACTGGATCGTAAAAGCAGCCAAAGCCCAAAAAAATGTTGAAAGATAATTTATGAAGGATTATTGATCAATACTATTTACAGAAAAATTACAAAAAATCTGACTTTGTAAAAGAAAATGAGGGATGACTCCAGATACTGTATTGTGAAGATCCAAACATCAACAGGTGGGGCCGGGCCAGTCTGTGTTCTTTGGTTTTTCTGTTTCAAACCAAAATTGACAAGTTATTTTCTAAAATATAAAATCAACAGTTGCAAAACTAAAAAAAGTGACTTTTTTCATTTTAATGGGTAAAGCTAATACAAGCTTTAYATTTTGTTCGTGCACTATTTGGCATCGTCTGGCAGACCTGGAAATCATGGTCTAAACTCCCAAAGGATCGTGTTTTTATTTAGCAGTTTAGAAATGGCAAAACTACATATTTGTTTTATTTAAAGGGAGTCAACACATCTCAATGAGAACTGATTATCTTACCATGAATAAAACTGCTTAAATATTCAAAATTATTCAGAACAGGGTTGAAGTGCAGCCTTTGCCAATATCTTTAGGAAAGGCCTTCTTTGGCGACTTATTTAAAACAAAAATTCTGAATTTAGGTTTTAAAAATGGAAAAACAAAAATACAACTCAGTTATTTATTTTTTTATTTTCGATTTTATTTTCAAACAGTAAACCAAAAAACAAACCGTACACAGGTTCTGGACAAACTTTCCTCATTCTCCTTATCATTAAGACCTTATATCTTCATACAGTATTCATCACAAGCAAGTACTGGTGTTCAAGAAAGTGAAATGTATCATTTGAAATATCAAAATATTAGGTTCTACAAAGACAAAAAAGGCTAAAATTTATATTAAACTGGAATTTTCAAAAAACAAAATTGTTTAAGATCAAACAAGTTAAATCTAGTTCAACAATTAGGATCACTGCTAATTATTTGTTGGACTATAAATGTCTATAGAGACAAAAAAAGAAAGCAAAAAGCCCTCTTTTTTTTTTGTCCATCTTTCTCACATTTCTCCATGACAACCAGCAAACATCCAGGCTTCCTCTGAGTCATGTGGGATCACCACAGCAACACCTGTACACAATCAGACGGATAAACACAAACACACACAGCTGGGATTTTTCCAGCACAAAAATACTTTCAGTCATCTTCATGCTTATGAGTGTTGACCTGAATGAACAAGCAGAAACCCACCATTTGTTGAATCTGCTCACCAATCAGATACTGCCAGGCAGCTGTCTGCGGGGTGGAAATCCCCCGACCCGTTTCACATTTATTCTCTAATACAAAAGGAATTTGCCCAACTGGAGTGATGCATCCTAAACCTGACATAAAGAGCCAGAGAACTTAGGATGTTATGTTGTTATTATTATTATTATTATTATTATTATTATTATTATTATTATTATTATTATTATTATTATTATTATTATTATTTACACCCATTTTTACACTAATCTTTAAAATAATACTCAGCAAAAGTACGTTGCTCAGTTATAGTTGTAAATTGTAATTTCTGTTAGAAATTTCTTTGTTTTTCATTTACGTTTAGTTGCATCGAATCAATCTTAMTGTTGTTCCTTTTATTTACTGATGGACAGTTTTAACATTTAGAATCAGAGGTTTAGCACCATTTAAGAACGACAATAGGAAAATATTTTTTGGTTGATGAACACCGCCAYCTGCTGGTCAAAGAGCTGAATTCTTTCAGATTTTCATTTTTCAAAAATTGGTTTTCTAATTTAAAACAAATTGGCACTGCAAARTAAAAGCAAGCCTGGAGTTAAGAATTGTCCATATTACTGCATAAATGGCCTAAAACATCAACAGAGYGGATAAAGAGAGACCCAGTGAAACAAATATCACTAAAATATTACACGTGCATGGCCATTTATTTATTGAGGGAAACCATCCAGTATTGCATTTGTGAGTGGCAAAGGTGAGCCTCTAGRATTAGTAGTTAGTGTGAAATTAGAGTCAGGTATTTTTAATTAATGGGATATCAATCAGGTGTGAGGGGTCAGGTTGTAGTATATCTTGGGACAAACATGATTATTGTGCTCRTCTGCAGATGGCGAAAGATCATGTCCACAAGTCAGATGGCAAGTGGGAGAATTTTTTTGTGGACGGCTGAGCTAAACATAGAACTTTCTGGTTCAAATGAAAAGCATTATGTTTGGTGAAAGAGAAACACTGCATTCAAGCAGAAAAACTTTTTCCTATCTGTGAAACATGCAGGGCGGTAGTATCACAAACATTCACTTCACAGGAAAAAGTTTTTTTTTGCCACTTCAGTAGAAAACATAACTAAATATTAGTTTCTTCATCATCAATGACATTTTTATACAAGAAAAGAAAAAAGAAGAAGAAACAGAAAAGTAATAGAAGAATTTGAAAGAGAGTCAAGAAGACATGTGAGATACACACCAAGAAAACACAAGACAACACACCCGACATCTGTCTCCATACCAGCAAAAAATAAGAAAACAAAAGCACAGAAACGAAATACACACACACACACACACACACACACCCACACACACACACACACACACACACACACACACACACACACAC